CTCCCACTGCTGCTGCTGTCACAGCTGCTGCTGCCGCTGCTGCCGCTCCTGCTCCTGATTCTGTTGGTGCAGCTGCTGCCACTTTTTCTACTTCTCCCACTCTTCCTGCTGCTCCTGCTGCTGTCCCTGCGGCTCCCCCAGCCGCTACTTCTCCTCCTCCTGACGCTGCTGCTCCTGCAGGCGGGCTGTCCCCTGCATCTCCTCGGGTGACGGGCCTTGACGTGCTGAGACGACCTGGGCACGGGTGGAGGAGAGAAGGGGGTGAGGGAGCAGCATATGGGCTTGGAAGGAGTGGGGGAGACGTGAGAGATAGGAGAGAAGGGAGAGAACGTAGAGAAGGGGGAGAAGGGAATGAAGAGGGAAAAGAGAGAGGGGATAGAGAAAAGAGAGAAGGAACGGAAGGAATAGACGGGAGAGAGAGGGGAGAAGGAAGTAGAGGGTGCGAGCAAGCGTGTCATGCGGTGCTGGTGAGAGGAGGAGGAGTTGAGAGCGGTGGTTCTAAATTGATGCAAGGAGGAGGGGTAGGGAAGGAGGGTGGAGAGCGAGAAACAGAGGGAGATGGAGAAGTTGCTGTAATGCGAGAGGTAATACTAGAGGGAGAGGAGGAGGAAGGCGGTGCAGCAGGTAGAGGTGCTGAAAGGGAAGGTGACGCAGAGAGAGGGAGCAGTGAAAATGAGGGTGGGGATGAGGGTGTGGATGGGGATGCGGATGGAGATGTTGACAGGAGAGGCATGGGCAATGAAGGGCAATGTGGGCGTGCAGGTGCAGCGGAGGGTAGCCATGGGGAGGGGCAAGAGAGGGAGTATGAGGGCGAGGAAGAGGATGCAAGGGGGAATGAGGAGGCATTGAAAGCAGGCAAGGGGCAGGTGAATGAAGATGAGGAAGCAGGGTATGAGGATGCAAGGGGCATGAGGGAGCAAGAGGGGGGAGAAGCCGGAGGAGCAGAGCGAGAGGCAAGGGGTTCCCGCGGCCCAGTTGGGCCCCCACCGGCGTGCTTCCACTCCCTCCTCGCTGCTCTTGAGCTCTGCCTCTCCCGCCTGCTGCTGCTTCAGACTACTCCCGAGATTCACCATGCCCCCTTGCTCCAGCAGCTGCAGCAGCAGTGCCAGCAGCAGGAGCGCCAGCAGGAGAAGCACCCCCCGTACAGTCACACGGCCACCCACGCATGCAGGCACACAGTCACAGTCACTGGCACTGACACGTGCAGTCACTGTCAAGCCCTCCTGTCCACGTCACACTGCCATGCAGCCGCACCAATCACGTGCGGCCAGCTGGAGCGAGCGGTGCGCCAGCTGGCGAGCATTGCCACAGCTGCTGTGAGGCAAGCACAGGGCAGCTGTGCTTCTGATCACATGGCTAATGGTGGTACCGCTGCTGCTGCCGCTAATGGCGGTGCTGCCGCTAATGGCGGTGCTGACGCTAATGGTGATGCTGCTGTTAGTGGTGGTGGTGCTGCTGCAGCTGCCGCAGGAGCTTGCTCTGCTGGTGCTGCTGGTCCTGCCGCTGCCCCATGTGCTCGCACAGGTGATGGTGGGCGATGCTTGTGTGGGGGTGGTAGGCTATGCCTGAAGCACATAGCGCATGCCATGCAGCAACGCATGGTGTTGCTGACATCAGTCTTGCACAATGTTGCAGAAAACCCAGATGTGATTGATGCTGATAGCAGTCATGATCACTCATGACGTTGCTCGAAAGGTGGCAAGGGGTGTATATTGCACGATGCTTATACTGTTTCTCCTGTGCATAGTTAATGACCCAACCTGGTCCGTTTGTGTATAGCTGCCAAAAATGCGTTTATGCTGCCCCAATCTCAATGCTTTTACACGCAAGCCGTCACAAAGGGTCACCACAACGGTCTTTAAATGCGTGGATTTCAACCTTTCAGCTAAGAACCTGAAAATGTATGGTAAATTATTACTACATCCCTCCTCTATCACAATCGAAGACGAAGCATGCTTTTATGCAGACTTCTCGCTGATGCTTCTTCTGGCGTCTGCGCTTCGACAAATTCCCGCCTTCGATACTGGAGCTCATTGGCCACGTCATCAGGCTTACCGGTTCCCACTTGGCAGTGACCATCTGACGTCCACCTAGGTCTGCCTGTGTTAGCCGGCGCCAGTGTCTCTTTCTGCCTAGCCATGCCAGCGGCTCGACTTCTATGTCTGCGTCTGGTTGATGCGACGCCGCACGAGGTTTGGCGAAGCGAAGGACGGGTGTTTTACAGACCGTGGATGATGGGATGCCAGATTTCGCCTCGATGTTTTTGCTGGTTACGCTTTCTTCGTGAGTCATAGTTACCAATATCCCCAAGCTCGCGGCGCCTGAAACACCCTGTCGTCTTCACGACGTTCTCGGCAGCCATCACTGCCTGTGCTGGGCTTTCGCTAGTTGGCTTGGTTTTGTGTGTTGGTTCCGGTCCGAAGCGGTGCAAACAAACCGTTGTGTACCGTGTAAAAACTTACTGTAACGGCATTAAACCAGCGGACATCCATCGAATTTGACTAACTAAATCCACTTCCACACGCCACTATTTCTTCTTCCTCGTCAATCCCAACAGCTACCACCCAGACAACTCAGGTTATGCAGGAGAAGAAAAAGCCGACCTTTACCTTTACCAAGCAGTTCGGAGAAACGAAAAAGAGGTTCCGACTCTGATTCATAGTGTAGTATACAAGCTTAGGTTCCGAGTCTGCGTAGGTATAATACCAGAGCGTCGCTTTTTACGCCATTCACGAAGCCATTAGGAAAAAGCAGTAGAGTGGTTTATTGTCGTCTGTAGACAGCCACTCTCGAGCCTGAACTTGTGCCTGAACTACACAGGATGCCGTGCCTCACGGTCAATGTGGACCGTTGTTGCTTCGCCGCCTTCCTCCTCCTCCTGCTCCTCCCCCTCAACCCGTCCTATGCACAACTCGAATCTCAAGGTTCCTTCACGTCACTACCGTACGACACAGGGGAGCTGGTTCAAGGCAGCGCGCCGTCTATGTCCGCCTCGGATTTTCTCGCCGCCGCGAATCAGATCACGACGGATAAAATCCAGTCGACCCGCATGCGAATCTACCAGCAGTTCGTGCAGAATCTCGCCATGAAAGGCGCGAGCACGGCCGCGCTAGGCCAAATCGTCGACCTGCCGCAGCCTCCATTCACGAACATGACTCTCCAACTCGTGAAGCTCAAGCTCTCTTCGCTCGTCGCCAACGGGTTTCTTTTCCACGAGTTTTTCATTCCGCCGGGAATCCAGGTCTCTACGAATCCGGAGCTCGTCGTTTTGTTGTATAACCAGATTCCAGTCACCTTCGCGCCGTACAGACCGCCGAATGGTTACTCCTATTCGCCGTATTTCGCCGGGGTTGACATCCTTCCCTACGTTAACGACACGACGAAGGCTCCAGGCCCGTTGCTTGTGCGAACGAGCCCGTCGTTACCAATAACTGTTACATTTCCGTACGACGACTCTCAGCCTGGTTACGTTCAGTGCACTACCTTCGGCCTGCTCGGCGCGCTTATCCCTCTCAACCAATCACAGGACAGCACGCCCACGCGGGTCATATGCGAGAGCGTCACCCTTGGGGAATTTACCCTCACAATCGGCACCAAACCATTCCCTTCTCCGCCGCCCCCCTCACCCTCCCCTCCGCCCCCCCCGTCCCCGCCAACTCCGCCAACCCCCACTCCGCCTCCTCCGCCCGGAACCACCCCCGCCGAAAAGGGCGGGTCAAGCGGCCTGACCATCGGATTAGCGATCGGACTCGCGATTCCGATCATCCTCCTGCTGGTGCTGGGCGCGTGGCTGATCTGGCAGCTGCTGCAGCGCGGGCGCTACGAGAAGATGGAGATGGCGGCGGAGCGAGCCGCGAACCTCGAGACTGCGCTCATCGCGGGGCAGCGCGCGCCGTCCGCGCCCGCTGTGCGCACCAGGGGGGCGCTGGAGGACGAGGCGTGAGCGCGGGGAAAGGGCGCAGGGGAAGTGCGTGGGAGAAGGGCGCGGGGAGGGGAAGCGGCTATGCGCCAACGTGGAGGAGGGACGGCGAGGACGGAGAGAGGAGGACGGGGGGAGTGGGGGGGAATGGGGGGGTGTGGCGGGGAAGGGAAAGAGAAAGAGGAGAAGATGGTCAGAATGTAGGAGGCAGGAGATGAGCTCGCGCTGTGTGGTTTGCTCCCATCTGCGCCATCTGCTCTCTGGCTGTGTGAACTGCAGAGTTTTCGGCTATGGGCATGATTCAGAGGGACGGAGAGGAAAGGGAATGCGCAAGGGGGAGTGGAGGTGATAAACGGAATCCCGGGAGTAGGGGTGTCTTTGAATGGTGGAGGTCGAGGGAAGGGTATGGGGTTGGTTGGGGGGAACAGGAGTGTGTGCGATACAAGGGTGCATGTTGGGGGGGAAGGGTTGACTGGGTGTGGGTTTGTGCTTGTTATGTGTATTGGTGTGTGTGTGCATTGGGTTCAGGAAAGTTTATGAGGGGATGCTGCTGGGTGCATGCAGCATGACAGATACCGTAGCTGATGGCGCAATCAGTGTCCTGGCATCACAGGCAGTAGGCTTCCTATTTCAGGGCCAGGACCCAGTTGTTTATTCAATCTAAACGTGTATCCAAGGGTTGTGCCTCATACAGACGTTCCAGTATGTCAAAAATGTGGGAAGCCAGCAAATGCATAGCAGCACAGCACGGCCAAGACTACTGGAGTCCACTTTCCAAGAACATCACCAACTCTGCCTTATGACACTGCATGCCGCAGGCTTTGCCTCTGTCTGAGGCATTCAGAGGATTCTATCATCAGACATCACGCACTCACACAGAAAGGGGGCAGATCTTGCATAAAATCACGACTGATCAGTTGTACAGGAAGGCATTTCCAGCCGCAGTGCACTCTAAAACAGAGACTGGACTCGGATACAGGCGCCCAGTGTATGACAACAGGACCAAAATCAGCAGTTATCATTTGCCAGAGTCAGATAACAACAATAGAGGAACAAACAGAACTGTCTCCAAGGTCATTGCCTAGTTGATGGGAACATCTACAACAGCTGGCTTCTTAGGCTCGGGTGGCTTGACCTTTGGGACAGTCACAGTGAGCACACCATTCTCGGAGCTCGCAGCAATCTTATCCACTTCCACGTTATCAGGAAGACGGAACCGCCTTAGAAACTTGCCAGTGCTCCGCTCCACGCGGTGATATTTCTCCGTCTTTTCCGTGACTTCGCGACTCCGCTCACCGCTGATGGTCAGCAGATTCTTATCTTCGATTCGGACCTTCACCTCGTCTTTCTTCAGCCCCGGAAGATCCGCGATGAATGTAAAAGCCTCGGGGGTCTCCTTGACGTCGACGGCTGTACACGCCATTGCGCTGCTGTCTGTTACGAAGTTCGACGTCGGCGCGTCGAAGAGAGCACTGAACTCGTCTGGGATGTGCGATAACCGGAGAAGGGAGTTGAGCGTCGGGTTGGTACCGAACACTGTGAGCGCCATGGCGTTCTCGTGCTGTGGACTGGCGGAAATGCTCGAACTTGCAAGCGACGGAACGCTGAGAAGCTGTGAGAACGCTGTTAAGAACGTGCAAGAAGTAGCTTGTGAGAGCTGTGCTCAAAGAACGCTGCTTCAGTCGATGATTGGATGACACTCGAGTGGAAATCCGCCAGTTTTATAGAATGAACTGCTTCCTCGAAAACAAAACGCGGTTCGCTCAGAACGTAAGGAAGTCTAGAAGATGGCGAGGCCATGGCTCTGGAATGCACGGGATGTGTCTGGAGCACCGGAGCTCGCACTGGTGAACGACCCTGCGAAGAGCACCGAGTCGTGAAGTTTCTAGGAGCAGCTGGAAAACCCTGGAGAAATAAATACTTCTCTGAAGGAACACCCGTTGCTGGAATTCCGAAATGACTCATACAGGGGCCTCGAAGTTGTCTGCCCAGGCATTTTGGCGCTTGGTGGGATAAGCGTACGCGATAAGCGCTTCCTAGTACAATCTTCCTGATCATTCGTTGGTAACTACTTCATCATCCGCTGACTAGCTCAGACTGCTGCAAACAATCTGAACAAAACAACTGATGTTCAGCAAAACCATTACAGATTACATCGAAATAACACTTGACAAGTTTGCAAAAACGGTTTACTTGCATTTCTTTCAAGAACCAAAACATACATAAATTCCATATCAAGCACTAAACATCCATTTGAGTGGAGATGAATACATAAAAAACATATCTACAACCAACCTAATTTATGGCTTCTATGACCAGCAGCAGTGTGCCATGAGGCATTGGATGCATGGCATGGCAGCGGAAACAACCATGTTTGCCACATGCCACCCTCTTCCCTCCTTCCTCCCATACTGTCCTTGCCTTCAACTGCGCTCCACTCCCCTCCAGCTGCTGCCAGTCTGCAGAAAGCATGATGACATGCCAAACCATGCCATGCCAAAGCTTGCCAAACCACACCACGCCACATCATACCATGACATGCCATACCGCGACATGCCATACCGCGACATGCCACACCATGACATGCCACACCATGACATGCCACACCATGACATGCCACACCATGACATGCCACACCATGACATGCCACACCATGACAGGCCACACCATGACATGGCACATGACAGGTGAAACCATGCAATGCGACATCATGCCATGCCACACCATGCCATGCCACACCATGCCATGCCACACCATGCCATGCCACACCATGCCATGCCACACCATCACAAAACATACCATGCCATGCCACACCATCACAAAACACACCATGCCATGCCACACCTACCACACCGTGACATGGAAAAGTTGTGTCACACCATACAAAACCACACAATCTCACACCATACAAAACCACACAATCTCACAGACTATGCCATAATATTTTGTCGCAGAGCACAACCTAACATTCACACCATACTGCATTTAAAAACACGCCACACCAAACTACGTCACGCTACACTCCATCACAACAAATGCACTAAACCACGTCACACTATTACAAACAGCACTGTATCACGACAAGCTGTAGCATACTATGTCATACCACACCGTCCCGGACATCACATGCATCACATACTTCATCAGACCATACTGTATCACACCATACTGTATCACACCATACTGTATCACACCATACAATATCACACTGCACTATATCAAACTACACTGCATTGTTCCACACTGTGTCATACCGCACTATTGTATTACACTATATCATATCACCATCACACACTTTCATTCTACATTGTATCATACCACACAGCATCACAGCACGCAATCATGCCACACTGCATCACACCACACACTATCATCGCATCCTGTATCACTACATTGTAAAACACCATTCTCATCATGTCACACCGTATCACACCACTCTGTTTCACACCGCACAGTATATCACACAGCACAGTATTGTGCCACAATATTTCATTACACAGTACAAAACATACTACATCATACCACAAACATCATACTGCACAGCGTATCACACCACATTGCATCACCACACTGTATCACACTTCATAGTGACATACCACTGTATATACTACAATGTTATATACCACACCTGATCGCACCACAGTGTACCATACCATACAGTAACATACACTGGGTCTGATATGGATATAAAGGGCCACTGAACTGAGGGAACTGAGGGAGGGAACTGAGGGAAGGAACTGAGGGAGGAAACTGAGGGAAGGAACTGAGGGAAGGAACTGAGGGAGGAAACTGAGGGAAGGAACTGAGGGAAGGAACTGAGGGAGGAAACTGAGGGAAGGAACTGAGGGAAGGAACTGAGGGAGGAAACTGAGGGAAGGAACTGAGGGAGGGAACTGAGGGAAGGAACTGAGGGAGGGAACTGAGGGAAGGAACTGAGGGAGGAAACTGAGGGAGGAAACTGAGGGAGGAACCTGAGGGAAGGAACTGAGGGAGGGAACTGAGGGAAGGAACTGAGGGAGGGAACTGAGGGAGGGAACTGAGGGAGGGAACTGAGGGAGGGAACTGAGGGAAGGAACGGAGGGAGGGAACTGAGGGAAGGAACTGAGGGAGGGAACTGAGGGAGGGAACTGAGGGAAGGAACTGAGGGAAGGAACTGAGGGAAGGAACTGAGGGAAGGAACTGAGGGAGGGAACTGAGGGAAGGAACTGAGGGAAGGAACTGAGGGAGGGAACTGAGGGAGGGGAACTGAGGGAAGGAACTGAGGGAGGAAACTGAGGGAGGAACCTGAGGGAAGGAACTGAGGGAGGGAACTGAGGGAAGGAACTGAGGGAAGGAACTGAGGGAGGGAACTGAGGGAGGGAACTGAGGGAAGAGACTAAGGGAGGGAACTGAGGGAGGGAACTGAGGGAGGGAACTGAGGGAAGGAACTGAGGGAGGGAACTGAGGGAAGGAACTGAGGGAGGGAACTGAGGGAGGGAACTGAGGGAGGGAACTGAGGGAGGGAACTGAGGGAGGGAACTGAGGGAGGGGAACTGAGGGAAGGAACTGAGGGAAGGAACTGAGGGAAGGAACTGAGGGAAGGAACTGAGGGAAGGAACGGAGGGAGGGAACTGAGGGAAGGAACCGAGGGAGGGAACTGAGGGAAGGAACTGAGGGAGGGAACTGAGGGAGGGAACTGAGGGAAGGAACTGAGGGAAGGAACTGAGGGAAGGAACTGAGAGAAGGAACTGAGGGAGGGAACTGAGGGAAAGAACTGAGGGAAGGAACTGAGGGAGGGAACTGAGGGAAGGAACTGAGGGAAGGAACTGAGGGAAGGAACTGAGGGAAGGAACTGAGGGAAGGAACGGAGGGAGGGAACTGAGGGAAGGAACCGAGGGAGGGAACTGAGGGAAGGAACTGAGGGAGGGAACTGAGGGAGGAAACTGAGGGAGGAAACTGAGGGAGGGAACTGAGGGAGGGAACTGAGGGAGGAAACTGAGGGAGGGAACTGGGGGAAGGAACTGAGGGAGGGAACTGGGGGAAGGAACTGAGGGAAGGTAGAGAGGGAAGGCAGAGAGGGAAGCGAACAGAGGGAGGTGACAGAGGGAGGATACAGAGGGAAGCAAGCACCCCAACTTCACCTGCCAGCAGTAGGAGCAGCAGACAGCCTACTCCCTTTCGGAAACACCATCCTAAGAGGTTGTGCTTTGTCGGGCGCGGTGAGGCAGTGAAAAATCGCTTCCAGCCCAAGACTCAAATCCCACCCCTGACGTGGCTAGAGCTGACGCGAACCAGAGCCGCCGGCCGGTCGGCTCTGACGGTGTCCATTAGGCCTTGAACGCCAGATTGGGAACCTGAGCACCGAGTGCCGTGCCGCGGAGATTCCACCCACCACACCCCACCCGACAAGGCACATCCCCTGAGAATGCTGCCCCCTCAAGAAGTGAACTACCTGGTTGCTCCCATGCCTTACACCCACACACCCCACACTTCACCCCCATGCCTGCGTACCTGTACCTACCAGAGCCATGCAGAGCGCCATGATGCTGAGGCTGCTGGAAAGGAGGGGGGATGATTAGGAGAGGGCAGGACTCCTCTGTGGTCCAGGCAGGGTGCTGCTGGGAGGGAAGGGGAGGGAGAAGAGAGAGAGGAGGAGGTGAGTGAGAGGGTGCACTCCACTCTCCCGCCCTTGCTCCAGTGCTCCCACCTTCAGCCTGCAGGGGAGCAAGGGAGGGAGAAAGAGAGGGGAGGAATCAGAACACCACACCTCACCTGGTACCATACCAAACCTTTTACCACACCTCGCTCACACCATGCCTAGCCTAACCCCCTGTCCTGCCCCCCACCCCCCACTGCTGCTGTGCTGCTGCTTCTGCTGCTGCAACTGCTGCTGCCGGTCTGCTACTCTGCTGCCTCTGCTGCACTCTTCTCTTGATGCCGAGTGACCCAGTGGCAGGCAGAAAAGGGGGAGGGAGACAGGAGAGAAAGGGCAAAAGGTTAGTGATGTGACGTGAACAGAAAGATTTAAGTCAACAGAAAAACGCATAAGCTGACAAAGACAACAAGGGCAAAATGCAGAGGGAACTGAGGGGGGTGTAAGGCCTAAGGAGGGATTAAGCTTAGGGGCTTCAGAGCTAAGGGGGAGGGTCTGTGGCTTGCAAACCGGGCCCCAACCAGTGGCGCGTTCTTAGGGAGAAAACACGGAAGCACATGCGAAAATGATTCAGGAAGCAACGTGAGGAAAGAGCAGCAAGCAAGGGTGGTTCCAGGGAAGTGAAGGCACTTAGCTGGCGGATGCCGCTCCCCTGCCCCTCCCCTCCCCTGCTGCCGCCGCCGCCGCCGCCGCCGCCACCGCCGCCGCCGCCACCGCCGCCGCCGCCGCCACCACCGCTGCTGCTGCTGCCGCCGCAAGTGGCTTCGTCAAGGTGGCACAGAGCTGCCTCTGCTGCATTCAGAGGGACCTGGAAGGGGGCAGAAGGGAAGGAAGGAGAGGAGATGAGTGAGTGCAGGCCGTGAGGCAAGCAAGGGCGAAGCACAAGGATAAGCAGCAGAAGAGGCAGCATCAAAGACCCACACAGCAAAAAGTGCGGCAGAGAAGAGGTGGAAAGAGGCTTACCTTGAAGGGCCAAGCCCACGCCAATACTCTCCCTTGAGGCAGCGCGATTGCCATGCCGCACTGCTGCCTCCCTCCTGTCCCCTCCCGGTGCTGCCTCCCCTCCCTCCCTCCTGCACGGCCACAGGGGAGGGGCGTGGGGAAGCGTCGGTGTTGACCCCAGCGCCCCTCCCCTCCACCTGCAATGAACATGCACAGAGCCTGTCAGTGTGCAATCACGGGATGAAGCAGGATTGGCAGCTGTGATTTCAAAGGCAGCACACGTTGGGGAGAAGGGGCCACTGGTGGAGGCGAGAGCACAAGACACAAACCTTTAAGGGAACCAGGGGGAATATACCTGCAGTAGGGGTTGAACCTAATTGGGCTGTAATATTCTAGGGAGGGCTTAACCTGAGGGGTTTACCAAGAATAAGGGAAGGTCTGTGACTCGTGAACCGGACCCCAACCAGTGGCAAAGATTTCAGGGTTAGAACATAGAAACCCATGCAAAAACAACAACAGTGATTCAGCATGAGCAGTGAGCAGCAGGCAAGGGTGAGTCCAGGGAGGCGAAGGCACTTAGCTGGCAGCTGAAGAAGCGCCAAGAGATGCCGCCTTATGTCCCCCTCCCTCCCCTCCCCTCTCCTACTGCTTCCGCGCTCCCTGCTGCTCACACTGCCACAGCAGGTCCCTTCAGCTGTCTCTGCTGCATTGCGAGTGACCTATAAGGGGGCAGAAAGGAAGGGAAGGTCAAGTGGGGAGTGAGTGCAGGCCTTGAAACAGGCAAGGGCGAATCAAAGGGATGAGCGCGAGGGCAAGTTAGCAGAAAACCAGTGCAGCGGGAAAGAGAGGTACGAGGCTTACCTTGAGAGGCCAAGCCCATCCCGATACTCTCCCTTGCTGCAGTGGGATTGCCATGCTGCAGTGCTGCCTCCCTCCCGTCCCCACGAGTCCCTGCACGGCCACAGGGGAGGGGCGTGGGGAAGCGTCGGTGTTGACCCCAGCGCCCCTCCCCTCCACCTGCAACGCACACACACGGCGGTGGTCAGTATGCATGGTATGGGCTCAACACAAGCCAGAGAGCAGAACTGCCAAATGTGGAAGAGAAAGGGAGGGCCACTGGTTGAGGCCAGGCCACACGCCACAGACGCCAAGGGAACCTGCACCTGAGGGGGGGACCTGCACCTGAAGGGGGGACCTGCACCTGAGAGGGTTACCTGCACCTGAGAGGGTTACCTGCACCTGAGGAGATACCTGAAGTGTGGGGGTCTGTGGCATGTGAACCGCGCTGGACCAGTGGCATTGTTTCAAAGAAAAGAGCGTACAACCAGCAAACGAAATGACATGCAAAGAAGGTGAGGGCATGGAGGAGGGTTACTTAGCTGGTGGCGTGAGGGCGAGCTCAAGGCAGCTGCAGCACCACCAGCTGCCTCCCTCCACGGCAGCCCTCGTCCCAGCCTTCTCGTGTGTGCCCCTGCACGGCCACAGGGGAGGGGCGTGAGGGAGCGTCGGTGTTGACCCCACACCCCTCCCCGCCACCTGCAATGCGCACACACAGAGCTAGTCAGAGCGCAGTGGTGGGAGCAAGTTGAATGGGAAACTGTGACTTGAAATCCAGCGCAAGGGAAGGGAGGAGGAGCCACTGGTTGAGGCACGGCCACAAGCTGCAGACCCAAGGGCACCTGAAAAAGAACCTGAGGGGTGTACCTGCACCTGAAGGGGTTACCTGCACCTGAGAGGGTTACCTGATGGGGGTCAGTAGCATGTGAACCGTGCTCAACCAAGGCATTGTTTCAAAGGGAAAGACAAATGCACAACCGGCAAAGGAACTGGCAGCAAGAAAGCAACAAGCCATGATGTGGCGGGCAAGGGTGAGGGCATGGAAGTGGGTGACTTAGCTGATAGCGTGAGGGCGAGCTCAAGGCAGCTGCAGCACCACCAGCTGCCTCCCTCCGCAGCAGCCCTCCTCCAGGTGCCTCCTCCCTGCACGGCCACAGGGGAGGGGCGTGAGGGAGCGTCGGTGTTGACCCCACACCCCTCCCCGCCACCTGCAATGCGCACACACAGAGCTAGTCAGAGCGCAGTGGTGGGAGCAAGTTGAATGGGAAACTGTGACTTGAAATCCAGCGCAAGGGAAGGGAGGAGGAGCCACTGGTGGAGGCACGGCCACAAGCTGCAGACCCAAGGGCACCTGAAAAAAAACCTGAGGGGTGTACCTGCACCTGAAGGGGATACCTGCACTGCACCTAAGGGGGTTACCTGAAGTGAGGGGGTCTGAGGAACAGATGCAAATCGTGCTCAACCAGTGGCAGTGTTTCAAAGGGAAGGACGAAAGCACAACCGGCAAAGGAACTGGCAGCAAGAAAGCAACAGTGTGAAAACGACAAGAGTGATTCAGTATGAGCAGTGAGCAGCAGGCAAGAGTGAGTCCAGGGAGGTGAGAGCACTTAGCTGGCAGCTGAAGAGCCGCCGAGAGATGCTGCCTCATGTCTTCTTCCCTCCCCTCCCCTCCCCTACTGCTTCCGCGCCCCCTGCTGCTGACGCTGCCACAGCAGGTCCCTTCAGCTGTCTCTGCTGCATTGCGAGTGACCTGGAGGGGGGCAGAACGGAAGGGAAGGTCAAGTGGGGAGTGAGTGCAGGCCTTGAAACAGGCACGGGCGAATCAAAGGGATGAGCGCAAGAGGGCAAGTTAGCAGAAAACGAGTGCACCTGAACCTGCACCTGAACCTGAACCTGAGGGGGAGTGGGCTCAAGTGGAGTGTGGTGGGAGGGGCGATACTGCAACCTCGACCGTTGATGAGGCCGGCGCTGCTGCCCCGCTGCCCGCGCTCCTGCTGCCCGCCCTGGTGCTCCCCTCGCCTGCTGCTCGCCTGCTGCCCTCCCCTTAACTTGTGAATGCCTGGCAGGTAAGGGATGGGAGGGCAGGGAGGGGAGGGAGGGCAGGGCGGAAAGGAAAGGCAGCTGAATGTAAGAGGGGTTGCAATGGAGAAAAGTGTCAAACAAACGTGCAACAGCAGAAACGACGGTGCATGTGACGCCAACCACAACCCCACAAGAGCCGCTACCAACCTGAACCTGCACCTGAACCTGAACCTGAACCTGAACCTGAACCTGAGGGGGAGTGGGCTCAAGTGGAGTGTGGTGGCAGGGGCGATACTGCAACCTCAACCGTTGATGAGGGCGCCCCTGCTGCCCGCCCTGGTGCTCCCCTCGCCTGCTGCACTCGCTCTGAATTGTGAAGGCCTGGCAGGGAAGGGAGGGGAGGGGAGAGAGGGAGGAAAGGAAAGGCAGCAGAGAGTAAGAGGGGTTGCAATGGAGAAAAGTGTCAAACACACGTGCAACAGCAGAAACGACAGTGCATGTGACGCCAACCACAACCCCACAAGAGCCGCTACCAACCTGAACCTGAACCTGAGGGGGAGTGGGCTCGAGTGGGGTGTGGTGGCAGGGGCGATACTGCAACCTCAACCGTTGATGAGGCCGGCGCTGCTGCCCCGCTGCCCGCGCTCCTGCTGCCCGCCCTGGTGCTCCCCTCGCCTGCTGCTCGCCTGCTGCACTCCCCCTGGCTTGTGAAGGCCTGGCAGGGAAGAGATGGGAGGGCAGGGAGGGGAGGGAGGGCAGGGCGGAAAGGAAAGGCAGCCGAAAGTAAGAGGGGTTGCAATGGAGAAAAGTGTCAAGCACACGTGCAACAGCAGAAACGACAGTGCATGTGACGCCAACCACAACCCCACAAGAGCCGCTGAACCTGCACCTGAACCTGCACCTGAACCTGAACCTGAGGGGGAGTGGGCTCGAGTGGGGTGTGGTGGCAGGGGCGATACTGCAACCTCAACCGTTGATGAGGCCGGCGCTGCTGCCCCGCTGCCCGCGCTCCTGCTGCCCGCCCTGGTGCTCCCCTCGCCTGCTGCTCGCCTGCTGCACTCCCCCTGGCTTGTGAAGGCCTGGCAGGG